AATCATGAAAAAAAAATCGAGATTTTTACAAATCTCGACGTTTTACACTTCACTGATACGGAATAACATAATTTTGCAATCTTGTCCGTATGTCTGTGTGTGTGTGTGTGTGTGTGCATGTAAACACGATAACTTGAGTACCGTTACAGCTAGGTTGATGAAATTTCATATATAAGTATTTTATCAAAATCGTAGATTCGTATCAACTTTTGAGCGATTTCCGATTACCGGAAGTGGTACTTTTTCTACTTTGCATTTTTCAAAAGCCTATAACTTGAGTACTATTTCAGATAGATAAATGAAATTTCATATGTAAGTTAAAGATCTAATTCTCTACCTTCTGTCAAATTTTGAGTAATTTCCGTTGACCGGAAGTACTAATTTACGGTATTTCCAATTTCTTAAAAAAACGCATGTAAATTTATAAAGTACTAATAATATTGCGCACTATTATGCACATTTCTTTTGGCGTTCACCTGGTGTGCAATTCTTTTTTCTACGAGATTTTATTCTATTTCAAAAACTTTAAATATTTAAAGTTCCCATCCCCTGTTGTGTCATATAAGAATATCCGAAAAATTTTAAGGGAGATCACTCCCGGTTTATTATTATTGGATATAGATTCGTAGGCACGTATCTTTCAATTTTTGGAATAATCAATATTCTATAAATACCCCAGCCTCAAGTATTTGAACAATACGTAGCTCAAAGGAAATGCATACTATTGTTATACACATAAAGGTATAAATAATCTATTCGGAGTCACCCCCCCCCTCACTCCTCTATCTCTAAATTGACACATAATAAATAACAAACTAGAAAGAGTTTTCACATGTGATTTATTAAAAAAAAAGACAACAGATTAGCATTTTGCGTTGCAAACACACCTGTTTGAACTTAATTAAATGTCTATTAAATAATTTAGGGCTTCCTATAAAACAAATGATAAACATGAAATCAATGTTAAATGTTTAATTTTTGAATATTAGTAGTATCTTTACCGATTGCCCTGTTAATCGAAATGGGTCGACACAGTGGCGTAGCGAGGTCGGGTGTCACCCGGTGCGGCACTTAATGGTGTCACCCCCCCCCAGAGGCGTAGTGAACCTTCCCGGGGACAAACTTTAAAATTTTCGATTTGCACCCCCCCCCCTCAAACTTTTGATTTGCACCCCCCCCCTCAAACTTTTGATTTGCATCCCCCCTCAAGTTTTTCTCTATATATTTTGCTATTTTTTGCCTTGGTGTCACCCCCCGCCCCCACCCTCGCTACGACCCTGTATATATATATATATATATATATATATATATATATATATATATATATATATATATATATATATATATATATATATATACTTACGCAGACACACACATGCACAAAAACACATACGCACACGAGCCTCCATTCTCCCGAAATCCACGATCAGACTTTTAAAATATTATACGGCCCATCCCAGGTATGTTCCACGGCAGACGACCGCTGCTTTACTCTCCAACCACACGGTAACATGTAGGTAGAACAAGGGCCATAACTGTTGTAACCAACACCAGAACAGAATCTGTCATAGAGCCAAAGAAATTCATGTGAAATGTTGGAAAAGTTATTGCTGTTTTCCACAAGGACACAATGACGGATATCAATTGTAAATTTATTACATTGTAATTATCAGTGTACTAAAAAAAGCTTTGATATTAACATATTCTATAAGTGCAATAGATGAAGTAATTGTCTACTATGTCATAACTTTCATTAAAATTTATTTACAAATCCGACGGACGGATATATTAAAGTATATATATATATATATATATATATATATATATATATATATATATATATATATATATATATATATATTTATATATATATATATATATATATATATATATATATATATATATATATATATATATATATATACTAGCGTACCCGACCCCCGCGCGTTGCCGCGGGGAAAGAAGAAAGTTTGACGAAATATATTAGGATTTCACCAACGCGTTATCAATTATAATTATGTGTTCTTAAACGCTTGACCTTCTTTTCTAAAAATTAGTTATTTAAATGTAAACAATGCCTGCGCTATTAGATGCTCGATCTTAATTTCTGACTGGATTGTCTAATAATAGATGCTTATTGCATCATTCGCAAAGTGACAAAACTCTACAGTAGGCTCCTCATATTCAAAAAGTTATTTTTTCATCTTTCGCAAGGTGACGAAACTGTACAGAAGGATTTCATCGCGTTACAAAGTTATTTTTAGAAGCTTGTTGTAGTTTTACCGCTGAATATAGTAGTACCTCTTACTCGCTATGCAGGACGCTCGATTAACGGATGCCAAGTGCCAACACAGTCGCTCTAAAACTCTGGGCGCCAAACCGTGTATTGAGGAAAGTTGTACCCTATATGGCGCCGCCCATAAGAAATTTTAGTTTTCTTCTTCGCAGAAATATTCTCGGGAGTATTCTCATCTACTCCCTAAAGTTTCATGGCACTCGGATGAACCGCATCCGAGTTTTATATTTTATATACCGTGTATAGAGAAAAAATTGCTCCCCCCTGGGGGCGCCCCCCTTGCAATATTAAACAATATTTTTTGCAGAACCCTACCATTGAGTGATCTAATCATCTTCCCAAAGTTTCATGGTACACGGATTAACGGTGTGAAACCGAAATTTTATAAACCGTATATAGAGAAAAATTGCAGCCTCCCGTGGCGCCGCCCTTGCGAAATTAAAAAAAGGATTTTTTTACAGAACCCTTCCCTGAATTGTTCTAATCAACTCCCCCAAAGTCTCATAGCTATCGGATAACGGTGTCACACCAAAATCGACTTATTTTTATATACCGTAAATAGAGAAAATTCGGACCCTCCCGTGGCACCGCCCTTGCAAAATTAAAAATGATTTTTTTTTAAGAACCCTTCCCTAGAGTAGTATAATGAACTCCCAAAAGTTTCAAGCCTATCGGATAAACGGTGTCACTGCAATTCACTTTTATTATTTGTATATACCGTAAATAGAGAAAAATCGGACACTCCCGTGGCGCCGCCCTTGCGAAATTAAAAATTAAATATTACAGAACCCTTTCCTAGAGTGGTATAATGAACTCCCCAAAGTCTCATGGCTATCGAATGAACGATGCCAAACCAAAATCGACTTTTATTTTTATATACGGTATATAGAGAAAAACAAATCGCGCCCTACCGGGGCGCCACCCCTGCGAATTCGAAATTTTTTTTTCGGAGAAACCTCCCCAAGAATATTCTCAACAACTTCCCAAAGTTTCACGGCGATGTAATGAGAGGTGTAGTAATGCATAAAGGACACACACACACACACACACACACACACACACACAGACACACATACATTGCTTTATATATATATATATATATATATATATATATATATATATATATATATATATATATATATATATATATATATATAAATATATAAATTTCTATATATATATATATATATATATATATATATATATATATATATATATATATATATATATATATATATATATATATATATATATAATATTGTATAACCATCACGGTTTTTTGAAAAACACATTTATTAATACCTGCAAAGCCAGTAGCAGCATAGCTCGTTGAATATCCTTGAACTGGACATAAGTTGATGAAAATTCATATATATATATATATATATATATATATATATATATATATATATATATATATATATATATATATATATATATATATATATATATGCATGAGTATATAAAATAGTAGTATAAATTAAACTAAATAATTTAATATATTCTATTTACATAATTTATATAATTCTTTTTTTTTGTTTGGATAGGTAATTGGAGGAACTAAATAACATTCAAAAGGTTCCATAGTTAAAGTGATATACGGCATAGGCAATGGGTGTTGTTTTTTTTTGGGGGGTGGGGGTGGTGGTTATAACCCCTCCCATGGTCCATCGCCAGTGTATGGATTACACACATACACTTTTACAATCGAATATACTATTTCTTCTGATTTGCAGCAAATCGTAAATTACACCCAAAGTTTATCTCTTTGAATAGTAGTGGTGGATAACAACACTGACAAAGATTCAGGTATTCAGGTCATGACAGCTAGCGGAAATTTGATCCATGTTATAGTATGGGAGTGCTGTTATTTTTTAACTCTAGAGGTTGTATGTACGAGTAAGCTGTGGGACAGCTGTGTGTGGTGTATGTGTAGTGTGGTGTGTTCGTGTGGTGTGTGTGTAGTGTGTGTGTGGAGTATGTGTGTGTGTGGTGTGTGTGTTGTGTGTGAGGTGTGTGCGTGTGGTGTGTGTGGTGTGTTGGCGTGTGGTATGTGTGTGTGGTGTGTGTGTGGTGTGTGTGTGTGGTATGTGTGTGGTGCGTGTGTGTGTGTTGTGTGGTGTGTGCGTGTGGTGTGTGAGTGGTGTGGTGCGTGTGTGTGGTGTGTGTGTGGTGTGTGTGTGTGTTGTGTGTGTGTGGTGCGTGTGTGTGTGTGTGGTGTGTGCGTGTGTGTGGTGTATGTGCGTGTGCGTGTGTGTGGTCCGTATGTGTGGTGTGTGTGTGGTGTGTGTGTTTGGTGTGTGTGTTAAGTGCGTGTGGTGTGCGTGTGTGGGGTGTGTTTGTGCGTGTGGTGTGCGTGTGGTGTGTGTGGTGCGTGTGTGTGGTGTGTGTGTTGTGTGTGTTGTGTTGTGTTTGCCTGTGGTGTTTGTGTGGGGTGTGTGTGTGTGTTGTGTGTGTGGTGTATGTGGTGTTTGTGTGGTGTGGTGTGTGTATGGTGTGTATGTGGTGTGTATGTGGTGTGTGTGTAGTGTGTAGTGTGTGGTGTGTGTGTGTGTGTGTGTATAAGTGTGGGACCCCCCCTCCCCCGATGATAAAATCCTGGCTTCGCCACTTAAAGTGATATTTCAACCGTCGGTGAATTGATTTACAAAATTTTACTTACCTGCTTGACCCATAAAAATATGGCCTTTTGCTGAAACAATATTATTAAAAGGTTTAATAATATCTACTTAATTATTTTTATCTATAATAGCAAAGTGTTGGTTGTTTGTATATTTTTGTTTCTAACACCTGTTAGATAGGATATATGGACAAAAGTATCAGAATAATTGCCATTGACAAAGCTTTCTGTTCACTCGCATTCTAACGGAAAAATTAGAGCCATCTCAATAATCGAAGACTGTCCTAGTAAACTGAACGTGATCTTATATAAACTATACTTTTTTTTAAGTCCTTGCAGATACGACACACACTTGATATTTGGTAAGGAGATAGCTCTGATACCGTAGGCTCCTGGAAAAACACCAGTTTTTCCAGAAATGTATAACTGTTGAAAAATGACCTCGCCGCTCAAATTTACCTATTAAAGGGACGTGACTGCGTCGAGAATTAAACTTTTAATTCGACTTTAGTGGACGCTTGTGGACTGGGAAGGGGGGGGGGGGGGAGTGGGTTTGGTCCCCCCCCCTCCCCGAACGAAATGGAATTTATATAGAAAACATATACTTTTACCAGTGTCCGAAAATATCAAGTGCCTCACCCCCCCCCTCCCTGAGAAAAAAAGTCTGTAAGAAACACTGGTTGCTTTCAGTCCATTATTTTTAAAACGTAAACACATACATGTTTCAGTTAACTTTTAATGGCTGGAACCGATAATGACAAGTATTTTCATATTTCAATTTACTCCCAGCCAGCTTGAGAATTTTCACCACACAGACAAAACACAAAGCGCATGTGTGGCCACAGTTGTTTAACTTAATGTTGAAAACTAACTAAACACAGCTATGTATGTAAACTTTCCAATGAGCCCAAGTAGTTCTGTGTTTTGGAGGCCACTTTTCCACCTGACACTCTCTGGGCATATTAAAACATAGAAGCCTGGACAAGTACCAACAGCCATCCCTCCCCACTGTCACCTCCACACTAACTGACCGCCCCCCTCCCCACTGTCACCTCCACACTAACTGACCGCCCCCCTCCCCACTGTCACCTCCACACTAACTGACCGCCCCCCTCCCCACTGTCACCTCCACACTAACTGACCGCCCCCCTCCCCACTGTCACCTCCACACTAACTGACCGCCCCCCTCCCCACTGTCACCTCTACACTAACTGACCGCCCCCCTCCCCACTGTCACCTCCACACTAACTGACCGCCCCCCTCCCCACTGTCACCTCTACACTAACTGACCGCCCCCCTCCCCACTGTCACCTCTACACTAACTGACCGCCCCCCTCCCCACTGTCACCTCCACACTAACTGACCGCCCCCTCCCCACTGTCACCTCTACACTAACTGACCGCCCCCCTCCCCACTGTCACCTCTACACTAACTGCAATCTGGCTGCACCCAGATCTAACTGCTCGGGATTTCCGCATCAATCGACAGGTACCTGGTTAGCACGAGGATTGCCACACCCATCCCTAACTGCTATAACACATTAGAACAAAAATGATAAACCGTCCATTCTCAATGCAGCGAGCAGGTGTATATCAAATATATTCATCGTCTTCCTACAACCATCCTTACTCCGACATCACATTCTAGACCCTGTATATTCAGTCTTTCTTCCAGACTTTTTTCTCCGGGGATGCACTTGAAATTTCCGGGGGGGGGGGGGGGGGGGGGGGAGGGCGTACAACAATTTCCGGGGGGGGGGGGGGGAACACGGCAGTGGCGGAACTAGAAATCAAAGGCTCCCCCGCAAAGAAAAAACTAGGGGCCCCATATATATATATATATATATATATATATATATATATATAAAATCTATATCCTATATGAGTTATTTAGTCTACTTCTTTGCAATATATAACCATTCTGAGAGAACAAACCAGAAAAAATTTAGTCCAAACTATTATTGAGTTATTAGTATCCGAAATATACTGGTCAAAAATATATAAAGGCGTTAAGTTGATTCGTGAATGGTTTCTCGCGTTATGTTTATTTTTTTCATTTTTGGCTTTTATAATATCAATTTTGAAAACATTGATTTTTATAGCTATGCTATTGTATAGTACGACTTATTTAAGTAACAATTCAGAGAATCAATTGCTTTTTAATTTACATAGTACAAAACTATTAAAATGAGCTTCGTGGGCATCCCTATTTTAAAGAAGGGCAGTAAGTCATGCAAGTAGTGTGAATGTTTACCTACCTTTCAAACTATAGCTCTTGTAGATTTTAAAATATTTTTCTACGCAACAATCTCTGCTATAGTAGACCTGTTTTTTTTTTACAAAACCACTTTCAAGATGCATGAAAAACATAATTTAAAAAAAAAATCATTGCTTTTTGGTCGGAACTGGGCCCCTAAACGTCCTGCCCCCCCCCCCCCCCCCCGCATTGCGGGGTCTGGCGGTATGGTAGTTCCGCCCCTGGAACACGGACATTGTCAAAAGTATATATTTCCTATATAAATTCCATTTCGTTTCGGGAGGGGGGGGGGGGGGTGGGGGTGGGGCAGTGCCCCCCCCCTTCCCGTAGAGATGCCTGGGAGAAACTCTGTGTATATTAAGACCGCAACGATATTTAAGAACCCCCTCGCCAATCTTATGTAACCTGGATATGTTATAACATAGAACATTTTTCCAGCCGAATCTTGATCCTACAGTATAATATTTTGTATCATCCCCATCCCTCACACAACACAATCATTGTCTAAAGTATAACATTTTGTATCTACACCAACCCTCAGCATTTTTAGAACGGCCCCCATCCTCATCCCTCACACAACACATTGTCTAAAGGCTAACAACATAGAAAAGGCAAAGGCAGTTCGATATAAGCTTTTTCTATACCAAGAACATACGTGATATAAAATAACCCAAGGTAAAGATTTATGCAATGTCTCTCGTGTTATTTGATAAGTGCACGGAACTTTAGATTAGTCCGTACAAAATCTTACATAATTTATAAAATGTTTTGTGGCGCGAACCAGGATAAAACAGTAGGGCCTATATGGTAAACATTTTTAGTTAAGGTGTAAGCTTTGTAGGTAATACAACAACCTACAGTGTTAAACTTTAAAACCATTTTTAGTATAAGCTATATAATGCTATATCGTTCTGAGTATTGTAAGCAAGCAGAGCAGTGGCGTAGTGAGGTCGGGTGTCACCCGGTGTGGCACTTAATGGTGTCACCCCTCCAGAGGCATAGCGACCCATCCCGGGGACAAACTTTCAAATTTTCGATTTGAACCCCCCCATACTTTCGATTTGCACCCCCCCCCCTCGAACTTTTGATTTGCACCCCCCCCCTTTCAAGTTTTTCTCTATATATTTTTCTTTTTTTTTTTTGCCTTGGTGTCACCCCCCCTATAAATGGTGTCACCCGGTGCGGTCCGCACCCCCCTCTCGCTACACCTCTGCACCAGAGTTATGTTTTGGACACGATAAAATGTAGTAGCTACAAACTAAGAAGACGAGTGTTTATACCTATAATGTCTTGTATCTTGATAGTATTCTTCATATCCCAAGTTGATTCTCTGGGTATTGCCGGGCCGTATCGTAGCCTTACCACTAGCTCCTGGCCAAACTCTCCCTTTAGAAGTTCCATGGGAACATGGGCAAAGAAACGCCGGGGGAACGAATGTTGGCAGTGACAATTTTTATCTTTCCAATTGACTGGCAGTTTGCAGTCGTGGTGTATGAGTTCATCTCGGATTTCGCAAATCTGATGGGTAAAGAATTAAAACACTCGCATGCATTACACTAGTTTCTAAAATATTCAAACCGTTGGTAACTTACTTAAAGCTACCTGAACGAAGGCCCAATTGAGAAGAGATACAATGTCTCTACACACAAAAAAAAAAGTAATCGCCGCCTCTAGCCCATTTTACAACCGTTCCCATCGAATATCCTATCACGACGTCTCTCCTAGCCTTCCTCGCCAACCTAAATTTTACTACAACACGACATACGACTGATGCTTAGGGGCTCTTGAATGACGATTTTGCTTGTCCGTTTCACGTAGAAGCTACACAAAGCCGATTTCATTAAACAGCCACAATGCAAGTCTTTAAATACATAGTTAATAAACACGCCAACATTAGTGTTGCACCAGAAATATGTAGACCTAAAAGCACAATTAATCCATCCATCTATTAACTCCACACAAGCAATGGAGTGTGTTAAACAATAATCAACGAACTTTACTGGACGTGGAGGGGACGGCTTAGTGTGGACCCCCATATATTAAATTGTACATCAGTAACCCAAAATAATTATCATTAAAAAAGTTAAAAAAAAACCAACGTTTTCTGATTGAACTAAAAAGTAGAAAATACTCGATTTTATCTTCTCGCATTCACTTTTTTTTGGGTAAACGAAGACAACTCGTAAAAAACACGTGCCTTTTCCAATCGACGTTTCTTCTGTGTTGCCGTTTCTTTCACCATTTTGCCCTCGCGTGCAAACCATTCGACCATCAACATTCTACTTCCTGATCAGTCAGATTTGCATAGGTTTGTACACAAACACCGCGTGACCACTACTCAGTAAGCCAAAAGAGGGAGAGTACCGAACCTTGTTTTCGTCAAATTACAATTACTGGGTTATTTTTTTCCCCACGTTTTTTTGTACAAATATATAGTGGTCTAAAATGATCAATAAAATGTTTCCATGGATCAATTTAGTAATAATAACAATTGAATATTCTATTGTCATCGAAAACAAAGCTTCCCTGAAAATTTCAGAGCGCTAGCTAACTGGGAAGTGCCCGAAATTTCGATCGCAAGATTTGATTGGAGAACCAAACAAACAAACAAACAGACGCGAAAGCAAGTTAAAGAAAACGTGGGAAAATAACACATGAATAGCCAGACTACACACCCTAAAAAGGCGTCACACTATAATCTATGATCCTTATTTTACTAACTCTAATAGAGTTAGAGGCTAGATTTTGTAACAGAAAACACTATGAATTTTTTTTTAAATTTTTTATATTTTGTATGGGGAAATACCATTTAATGTATTATTGATTTTAATGGTCTTCGCCATACCAAAGTTTGGTAGCATCAATGATTATATGGCCGCCTTGACATGGATATCACTTATTCATAAGAGTCCCTGATGCATGCACATATTTTCCTTTAAGTATTCTAACCAACATACACAATTAATAAATACGTGTTTTTTTTCCGGAGCAATTAGTATCTTGTTACATTTTAACAACAATTTACCAAAATTCTTTTTAAAACGCAAAATAACGACTGAAATTTGGTTTCTCAGATTCAATTAACACTTTCTGAACCTCCTCGTTATAAATCGTCACTTAAGTCAGGATTCCCCCTCCCCTAGGTGACGTGTGTAAGGAGAATCCTTTTTACATTTTTCCAGCCTTTTAAATTATTTTTCTCGCGTGCTTTCCAATACTATATTTAGCATGGCCTCAATTATTATTATAATTAGGCGAATGAAATTACAGTGAATCGACGTAAATTTATAGTTTATGATGTGTTAATCTTTGAAACACCTGTTGCGTTCTCAGCACACTGTTATCAATGGGATATTTTATGTTAGCTTTTTACACACACACACATACACACACAGACAGAGACACACACATATACACCCACAAACACACATACAAACATGAACAGGTAAATGCATACACGAACACACACACACACACACACACACACACTCGAACACACACACACGAACACACACACGCGTAAAATTAAAATTAGTTACAACTCTGACCAAGTGGTTTGCTTTAAACCGTCTTAATAAAAAAACAACTTACCGACAGCCACGCGAAGATACTGGTAGCACATTTGTTACGCATGCTTCTGTGGCTTGGGCAATACTCGAAGTTGAAAAAATGTGCTTTGTCTCTCATGTAAGTGACATTTGGGTGAAATATAGAACCGAAAATAAAGATGTCGGGATGGACCCACCATATGCACTCTCTACACGCGGGTTGGTAGCCATCGAGTTGGGAGACCACTCGGTTCTCAATGAATTCTGAGCTCCTTACTTCATTGCCTAGTTCTGAATGAAAAAAATCGATAGATTAATATCATACTGTAATGCGGGAAAATCTTTCGGTATTTAACAATTAATTAATGAGATGGAATATTGAAATTTTCTCTCCAACACGGGAGCCAGACGTTTTCTCGAAAGACACTTGCCCGAATCGAAAATTGCCCGAATGGACACTTACCCTAATGGACACTCGCCCGAATGGACAATTGCCTGAATGAACACTTACCATAATGGACACTTGATCGAATTATGGACCATTTCTCCCTTGTACGATTTAAAGTCAAACCCAACAATATCTAATATAGGACTAAATGCACGTCCACGTTCACGTCTACGTCTACGTCTTTGTCTACACCCACGTCCACACTTCACGTCCACTCCCACGTCCGCACCTACGTCGATGTCTACGTCCATAACTACATCTACATCTACATCTACATCTACACCTACACCTACACCTACACCTACACCTACACCTACACCTACACCTACACCTACACCTACACCTACACCTACACCTACACCTACACCTACACCTACACCTACACCTACACCTACACCTACACCTACACCTACACCTACACCTACACCTTCCTACACCTACACCTACACCTACACCTACACCTACACCTACACCTACACCTACACCTACACCTACACCTACACCTACACCTACACCTACACCTACACCTACACCTACACCTACACCTACACCTACACCTACACCTACACCTACACCTACACCTACACCTAAATCTACACCTACACCTACACCTACACCTACACCTACACCTACACCTACACCTACACCTACACCTACACCTACACCTACACCTACACCTACACCTACACCTACACCTACACCTACACCTACACCTACACCTACACCTACACCTACTCCTACACCTACAGCTACAGCTACAGCTACAGCTACATCTACATCTACATCTACATCTACATCTACATCTACATCTACACCTACACCTACACCTACACCTACACCTACACCCACACCCACACCCACACCCACACCCACACCCACACCCACACCCACACCTACACCTACACCTACACCTACACCTACACCTACAGCTACATCTACATCTACATCTACATCTACATCTACATCTACATCTACATCTACATCTACATCTACATCTACATCTACATCTACATCTACATCTACATCTACATCTACATCTACACCTACACCTACACCTACACCTACACCTACACCTACACCTACACCTACACCTACACCTACACCTACACCTACACCTACACCTACACCTACACCTACACCTACACCTACACCTACACCTACACCTACACCTACACCTACACCTACACCTACACCTACACCTACACCTACACCTACACCTACACCTACACCTACACCTACACCTACACCTACACCTACACCTACACCTACACCTACACCTACACCTACACCTACACCTACACCTACACCTACACCTACACCTACACCTACACCTACACCTACATCTACATCTACATCTACATCTACATCTACATCTACATCTACACCTACATCTACACCTACACCTACACCTACATCTACATCTACAGCTACAGCTACAGCTACAGCTACAGCTTACTTTACATCTACATCTACATCTACATCTACATCTACATCTACATCTACATCTACATCTACATCTACATCTACATCTACATCTACATCTACATCTACATCTACATCTACATCTACATCTACATCTACATCTACATCTACATCTACATCTACATCTACATCTACATCTACATCTACATCTACATCTACATCTACATCTACATCTACATCTACATCTACATCTACATCTACATCTACATCTACATCTACATCTACATCTACATCTACATCTACATCTACATCTACATCTACATCTACATCTACATCTACATCTACATCTACATCTACATCTACATCTACATCTACATCTACATCTACATCTACATCTACATCTACATCTACATCTACATCTACATCTACATCTACATCTACATCTACATCTACATCTACATCTACATCTACATCTACATCTACATCTACATCTACATCTACATCTACATCTACATCTACATCTACATCTACATCTACATCTACATCTACATCTACATCTACATCTACATCTACATCTACATCTACATCTACATCTACATCTAATTCTATGCCACGTCCACGTCCACATGCACATTTACATTCACATCCACATCCACATCCACATCCACATCCATATCCATATCCACTTCCACATCCACTTCCACATCCACATCCACATCCACATCCGCATCCACATCCACATCCACATCCACATCCACATCCACATCCACATCCACATCCACATCCACATCCACATCCACATCTACATCCACATGGTACAGCTAACGTAATTCTGTATTAAATTATTAAGTTTACTAACTTTTAAACGTTGATTTAGAACAATTAAAATGTATCATGTTTACGAATAAAATATATATATATATATATAAAATTCACCTGTTAAAACGACAAAAAGAGTGAATTTCAAGGCGTTTAACAGCATTCTTACTGGAAGTTATAAACTAGTTCAACAGCAAAGAAGGCAATCTGCAAAAGCAAGAACGAGTATTTCTTTTTAAGGTTTTTTTTAGCGCAATTTCCATTCTGGAGAATTGCGTTTATTAACTCATCTTTTCTGGGAATGAATAGATGTATGGATGTGTGTTCGCAGCTTTAAGTCGTATCTCCTTCTCAACGAAGCAATATCGAGGACTAGTTCCCAAAGCAATTATGTTAAGCAGGCTACGAGGATGATAGTGGGCCAAAAAAATTCCGGAATTCCTTCCTGGATTTCCTGGAAAAGCCAAAAAACCTCGAAACAAATGCAGTTTTTGGCCTATATCTCGGCGACCAGACCACTTAGCGACTTGAAACATTTACCAATCGATTACTGCCATAATTTAGAACAATATTGCCGAAGAAAGTTTTCAAAAATATCCTTTCGTTCGGTCACAAAATTTTCTTTAAACTTACATTATACATAATACACTACAGTACTATATAGCAATATATAGATATCTATTTTTCGCTATCTTTTAGATATTGCTATAAGTTTATTTTTTTAATTACTTGTTTACTTATTAATTCAAACGTTATTTTTGTACCCTATTAATTTATTTATAAATTATATGAGAGTGATAGGGAGTTACAATTACAAGGTTTTGTTTCGCTAGGCCTAATAATAGAGTTATATGACTAAAAACCATTGCGCGCCTACTGAACGTGATGGCGCAGCCATGGAACGTGATGACGCATCTATTGAACGTGATGACGATTTAGAATTTTTATGGATAACATAAGGAAATTGCGCTTAAATTGTCACTAGACTTTTTAATTAACTTGTTTTTTGTTTTGTTCATAATGTCTGCTTAATTTTTCATGTATGCATGTTTGCTTTTTGTTTGTGGATGATGGCAAATCTTTTAACACAAATTTGACCCGCTTTTAATGCAGTGGTTTCGTAGGAAACTTCGATATACATTAGTCACCGATGACATTAGATTAGTCATTAAAATTATTATAATTAAAAAAGTATTTAGTTCAACAATTAAAAAGGAAGATAATAAGAACTGTTAGTTTCATGCCGCGGACTACAAATAGTTTTTAGACATCGCAAGCGGCGGGTTGGGTGTTCAAAACTGATATTTTTAAAAAATGCATCATTTAAAAATAAATAAAATAAAAACATTTTAATAACAAGTTTGTCTCCATTCGGGCGTTTGACGCATGCAGCTAATGTACAGAAAAGGGCTTTCGGAAAAACGGCATTTGGGAAAAATGTCTTGAAAAATGTCTTTCGGAATTGGTCGTAGACCCGTTAGGATTAGATTACGTATGTGTATGTGTATGCGAATGCGTATGCGTATGCGTATGCGTATGCGTATGCGTATGCGTATGCGTATGCGTATGCGTATGCGTATGCGTATGGGTATGCGTATGTGTATGTGTATGTGTATGTGTATGTGTATGTGTATGTGTATGTGTATGTGTATGTGTATGTGTATGTGTATGTGTATGTGTATGTGTATGTGTATGTGTATGTGTATGTGTATGTGTATGTGTATGTGTATGTGTATGTGTATGTGTATGTGTATGTGTATGTGTATGTGTATGTGTATGTGTATGTGTATGTGTATGTGTATGTGTATGTGTATGTGTATGTGTATGTGTATGTGTATGTGTATGTGTATGTGTATGTGTATGTGTATGTGTATGTGTATGTGCATGTGCATGTGCATGTGTATGTGTATGTGTATGTGTATGTGTATGTGTATGTGGGTGTGGGTGTGGGTGTGGGTGTGGTTGTGGGTGTGTGTGTGTATGTGTATGTGTATCGAAACCAGGTTAGGAACCGTTGTTAGATTTAATTGACGCAGTCAACAAGTCTTAAGTTTTTTCGAATGATGTATACAATATTTTTAAAATTATGTGTGGTGTTAAAGAAATAAATGTGGTTTTTATACATATGGAAACATATTGGAACACCTCCTATGACCAATTCCTGGCTACGCCACTGCCTGTACATGTAATTATTGTTTTTCTCACGAAAATGAAAGTTCAGTTCACAACTTAGGCTTGATGAAAATAAATAAAAATGTATCCTTAAAAAAAGGTCTAACTAAAAAAAAATAATTTTTAGGTTCACTGGATTTGCTACTTTAAAAAATAGATTCTAGTAATACTTAATTTTAACGGCCGCTTTTATGGTAAAATAAAAAAAACAACACTTTTCTATCCACGTCAATAATAATGATCGAAACCATTTAGTCGAAATCGGCCGTCTCCATTAAACTCACGAATTATAATGATATAGATCTAGATTTATATCCATTTATTATTTTTAGATCTTAAGCTTACCGAATAAAGCAATAAAAATCGTAAGTTTACACTGACATTGATGTAGATATAGCATGATTCATGTCTTAAAACAATAAAGTCACAGGATTTTAAACAATGGGGCAATAGCTGCAATAGCTAAGGAAATGGAGCTAGAGCCACTAGCGCGCACCCAAGGCAGTGCATTATCAATTATCTACAATTTTTTTTTCCGGTTTTGTTTCACACCAAGACAATACCTGCTTGTCGAAAAAATTTCATTCTTCAGAAAAACAATAATTAAAATATAGAACCACCGAATATGACATAGGAAATACAATAAACTTTTATATCAATCGCTTGAAATAATAATATGTTCAAAATAATTTAAAAAAATAATTAAACACATACACACACATAAAGGAGCTGCATATCCGTGCTTTCTTACGGTTTGAAAATTAGCACAAATAAACCGGGAGTGATCTCCTCTAAACTTTATCGAAAATTCTTATATAAAACAACAGGGGATGGGAACTCCATTTTAAATACTTAAAGTTTTTAAAATAGAATAGAATCTCATAGAAAAAAGAATTGAACACCAAGTGAACGCAAAATAAAATGTGCATAATAATTAGTACTTTATAAATTTACATGCGTTTTTTGAGAAATCGGAAATAGCGTAAATTAGTACTTTCGGTCAACGGAAATTACTCAAAATTTGACAGAAGGTAGAGAATTAGATCTTTTACTTACATGTGAAATTTCATTTATCTACCTGAAATAGTACTCAAGCTAAAGGCTTTTGAAAAATTCAAAGTAGTAAAAGTACCACTTCCGGTTATCGGAAATCGCTCACAAGTTGATACGGATCTACGATTTTGATAAAATACTTATATATGAAATTTCATCAACCTAGCTGTAACGGTACTCAAGTTATTGTGTTTACACACAGACAGTCAGACAGACAGACAGACACACACACACAGACATACGGACAAGATTGCAAAATTATGTTTTTCCGTATCAGTGAGGTGTAAAACGTCGAGACTTGTAAAAATCTCGATTTTTTTTTTGCACGATTACAGGACTTTCTCTATACTTCGTATATACGAGAAAGTAATAAACCGGGAGTGATCTCTCCAAAACTTTCTCGAATACTCTTATATAAAATGAGAAGGGGATGGGAACTCGGGCTATAGACATGATTTTTAATCAATTTTAAATACTTAGTTTTAAAAATAGAATAAAATCTCGTAGACAAAAAAAATGCACACCAAGTGAACGCCAAATAAAAAAGTGCATAATAGTGCGCAATATTATTAGTACTTTATAAATTTACAAGCGTTTTTGAGAAATCGGAAATAGCGTAAATTAGTACTTCCGGTCAACGACAATTACTCGAAATTTGACAGAAGGTAGAGAATTAGATCTTTTACTTACATGTGAAATTTCATTTATCTCTCTGAAATAGTACTCAAGTTATAGGCTTTTGAAAAATTCAAAGTAGAATAAGTACCACTTCCGGTTATCGGAAATCGCTCAAAAGTTGATACGGATCTACGATTTTGAAAAAAAATACTTATATATGAAATTTCATCAACCTAGCTGTAACGGTACTCTAGTTATCGTGTTTACACACACACACACTGACACACAGACAGACACACAGACATACGGACAAGATTGCAAAATTATGTTTTTCCGTATCAGTGAGATGTAAAACGTCGAGATTTGTAAAAATCTCGATTTTTTTTTGCACGATTACAATACTTTCTATATACTTCGTATATACGAGAAAGTAAAAAAGCAAAAACAATTTGGCGACATAAACAATGGCATCCTGCTATTCGATAGGCCGCCATAAATTTTATTGTACACATCGTAGCTAAAAAAGAAAAACTAGGTCATGGGGTTTAAATTTGCATTGTTATTTTAAAAACTTGATCTGCAAAATTTTGTAAACAAATAAACCGGGAGTGATCTCCACAAACTTTTCTCGAATATTCTTATCTAACTTGGAATATAGACATGATTTAATTACTTAAACTTTTAAAAATAGAATAGAATCTCATAGAAAAAAGAATTGCGCACCAAGCGAACGCCAAAACAAAATGTGCATAATAGTGCGCAATATTATTAGTACTTTATAAATTTACATGCGTTTTTTTTTAGAAATAGAAAATAGCGTAAATTTATACTTCCGGTCAACGGAAATTACTCAAAATTTGACAGAAAGTAGAGAATTAGATCTTTTATCCACATGTGAAATTTCATTTATCTATCCTAAACAGTACTCAAGTTATAGGCTTTTGAAAAATTCAAAGTAGAAAAAGTACCACTTCCGGTTATCGGAAATCGCTCAAAAGCTGCTACGGATCTACGATTTTGATAAAATACTTATATATGAAATTTCATCAACCTAGCTGTAATGGTACTCAAGTTGTCGTGTTTACGAGAAAGTAAAAACAAGGTAATTAAAAAGTCTAGTGACAATTTTAGCGCAATTTCCTTATGTTATCTAAAAATAGCTCTGTCGTAGCTTAAATCAAGAACAGGGTTAGTAAAATCATTGGTTAAAATACATGTTTTATTTACAATAGAGTTACATGACTAAACCCCATTGCGCGCCTAGCTACTGAACGTGATGACGCAGCCATTTAACGTGATGGCGCAGCTATTGAACGTGATGACGCGTGTGGTGTGGTTGGATAAACGCCTACTAATTCGGTCCAAATTTTAATTAATTCAAAAAAATTTTTGTGACCGAACCAAAATATATTTTTGAAAACTTTCTTCGGCAATATTGTTTTAAATTATGGCAGGAATCGATTGGTACATGTTTCAAGCCGCTAAGTGGTCTGGTTGCCGAGATATGGGCCAAAAACTGCATTTTTTCGAGTTTTTTTGGCTTTTCCGGGAAATCCGTGAAAGAAACCCGGAATTTTTATAGCCTATGTTCATCCCCGTAACTTGCTTAACATAATTGCTTTTGGAACTAGTCATCGATATTGCTTCGTTGAGGAGGAGTTACGACTTAAAGCTGCGGACACACATCCATCCATCCATCCATCCATTCATTCATACATTCATACATCCAGAAATGACGGGTTAATAAACGCAATTCTCCAGAATGGAAATTGCGCTAAAAACTATAAAGTTGGGCTGTCAGAAATCGATCATGGAGTTCCTGTACAGCCAATCAATGTTTGTCTTACGAAAGTGAAACATCGGGTTATATCTTAGGCTTGATGAAAATAAATAGAAATGTAGCCTTTATTTTCAAGTTCTCTGGATCTGCAACTTTCATAGCATTGATTCTAAAAATATTAATTTTCTGAATTAATTTTAGGCTTAAGTTTTTATTTTTTATAATTTTTACGGTCCGAAATCTAAATAAACGGGGAGTGATCTCCCCTAAACTTTCTCGAATATTCTAATATAAAACTACGAGGGATGGCAACTCAGGAAATAAAAATGTGCTTTTTACTCCATGTGAACAACATTACGGAAGGATTCTCGTCAACTCGCTGGTGTCCATTAAAACTGGATTGAAAAATTATGTCTATATCCCGCGTTGCCATCCCGCGTAGTGTTATATCAGAATACTCGAGAAAGTTTAGAGGAGATCACTCCCGGTTTATTTTATCTAGATCTAGATTCTAGAGTATTCTAGATTCTAGATCTAGACTAGATGTAGATTATTGTCTACTAGATAGATCTAGTTAAATTAAAGTGATTTACATTTATGAATATTGAAGATCTATTACGTTTGTAGCATTTATTACTTTAACTTACCGAATAAATCAACAAAAGTAAGTTGTAGATACAAATATGTATTTATGACATAACCTAGGCCATAATACTAATAGATCTTTCACGTTGCACAAAGACTGAACACATTGATGTCAAGGTTGTAGTTGCACGTATGCTGAATAAGTCTACTTACGCGTATTTAAGGAACTGCACTTTGTCATACCCTATTTTGTTTCGCACCAACGCAAAGCGCAATTGTAAAACAAGGTAATTAAAAAGTCTAGTGACAATTTTAGCGCAATTTCCTTATGTTATCTAAAAATAGCTCTGTCGTAGCGTAAATCAAGAGCAGGGTTAGTAAAACCATTGGTTAGTTATTAAAACGTTTTTTATTAATTTTTTTCAGTATTTTACATGTTTTATTTACAATAGAGTTACATGACTAAAAACCATTGCGCGCCTACTGAACGTGATGGCGCAGCCATGGAACGCGATGGCGCAGCTATTGAACGTGATGACGCGTGTGGTGTGGTTGGAAAAAATGCCTACTAATTCGGTCCAAATTTAATTAATTCAAAAATTTTTTGTGACCGAACGAAAGGATATTTTTGAAAACTTTCTTCGGCAATATTGTTCTAAATTATGACAGGAATCGATTGGTACATGTTTCAAGTCGCTAAGTGGTCTGGTTGCCGAGATATGGGCCAAAAACTGAATTTTTTCGAGCTTTTTTGGCTTTTCCGGGAAATACATGAAAGAAACCCGGAATTTTTATGGCCTATGCTCATTCTCGTAACTTGCTTAACATAATTGCTTTTGAAACTAGTCATCGATATTGCTTCGTTGAGGAGGAGATACGACTTAAAGCCCGGACACACATTCATCCATACATTCATTCATCCATACATTCATCCATCCATTCCCAGAAATGACGAGTTAATAAACGCAATTCTCCAGAATGGAAATTGCGCTAAAAATAAATTGGTAAAACCTTGATGATAATATTGATAACAAGCTTTTAAAGGGACTGAAAATGAATAAAACAGAAACGATCTTCCTTAAATATTTTATGTGCGACTGAGGAGTACACGTTTCTTTTTCTTTCTTTAAAAAAACATTCATTGATTATTATTATAAATGGTTTGCTTTTTTGCATTTGAATTATTTTCCACCTTTTAGTAATTCAATGAATGAATGAATGAATGAATGAATGAATGAATGAATGAATGAATGAATGAATGAATGAATGAATGAATGAATGAATGAATGAATGAATGAATGAATGAATGAATGAATGAATGAATGAATGAATGAATGAATGAATGAATGAATGAATGAATGAATGAATGAATGAATGAATGAATGAATGAATGAATGAATGAATGAATGAATGAATGAATGAATGAATGAATGAATGAATGAATGAATGAATGAATGAATGAATGAATGAATGAATGAATGAATGAATGAATGAATGAATGAATGAATGAATGAATGAATGAATGAATGAATGAATGAATGAATGAATGAATGAATGAATGAATGAATGAATGAATGAATGAATGAATGAATGAATGAATGAATGAATGAATGAATGAATGAATGAATGAATGAATGAATGAATGAATGAATGAATGAATGAATGAATGAATGAATGAATGAATGAATGAATGAATGAATGAATGAATGAATGAATGAATGAATGAATGAATGAATGAATGAATGAATGAATGAATGAATGAATGAATGAATGAATGAATGAATGAATGAATGAATGAATGAATGAATGAATGAATGAATGAATGAATGAATCGATCAATCGACCGATCGATCAAACGATCGATAGATCGATCAATTAATCCATCCATCCATCCTTTAACCTCCGAGCCACGACAGTTGGTTTTCTCATAATTTTCTGCAATCTCCCTAGGTCCTCTGTTTTGACTCTGCTTAGTAGGTTCTTTAGGGATCAATCTTGTTATTGACGGTCCTCTTTATTTCTTATGTGATCACTGTATGCGATCGCTAGGAGTCGGCGTAAACATCTCATTTTCAAGGGCCTGGGTTTTTTTTCTTTTAGTAATTATGAATTAAAAAAAACATGTTTGTACTTTTTGTGTCTAATTTTCTCGTTCCTTATGCAGTAGATACCACATACGATTTAAAATATTTACTTTAAAACCCGACCAATAGTTTTAAAAAAAAGTTCCTTTTCAAACCTGAAGTAGAGTTCAGTTGTTTCTGTGACCTCGGCATATGAAGAAATAGTGTGTTCAGCCCTATTCCCAGCCGCCTTTACTTTCCCTAACGTGGGTTAGGTACCCATCGGAGTTGGGTGGACTCAGGGAAGGTCTACTGACTTGAACCCAGATTCGAACACGAGAATTCAGGTTAGCAGCTCAGCTCTCTAACGCTAGACCACTAATTTGCGATCACTAAAAGACAATTATCTGCCCCTTTGTAAAGTTAATGGTCGTCTCACAGTTCACAACAGTTCAAAACATTGCTAGTACTTCATCATGTTATCTTTACTTTTATTATTGGATATAGATTCGTAGGGACTAATCTTCAGATTGTTCGATTAGCCAATAATCTACGAAATCCACAAATATAATAAGTTGAACACTACTTATACACAAAGGAAATACATAATAACGTTTTAAAATACATAAGGTTATAGACTTTTAAGAGCTCAACATATCCCCTATCTACCTCTTTCTGCACATTACATAATGTATTAAACAAAAAACTAGGTGTTTTCATATGTGATTTATTGTCGAAAATAGACAACAGATTATCTTTTTTTGTGTTGGAGACACGACCATTCGAACACAAAATTATTTTAAATAATTTAGAGCTAACAATCGATAAATGTGTTTACGAAATCAATGGTAAACGCTTAGTTGTTGACTATAAGTAGTTTCTTTACTGAGTGCCATATAACCCGAAATGGGTCGACTCATTCTGTGCGTGTATAATGTATATGTAGCTTTTTTTTTAGATCTTATATTTGTTGTTCTATCCTGTCGATGTTCATATTAAGTTAATGTACAAAATATTTGCCCGTCAAAAGCTATACACTTATTAATTCAGTTTTTAATGGGTGTAGTAGGTTTTTTTACTTAACAGTCTATGTGGTCTATTTTTTTATGTTAACGTTTTTACACACAGCAACGAGGGCGGGAGGGGGTGCTGACTGCAGTCAAAGGGATGACACCAAAGTGAAAAGAAATCCATTTAATTGGAAAAATAAACCTTTCTATGTGCGCTATAGTAAAGTAAATATGAATACACCGCCAATGGGCTAGCGACAGGGGGAAAGGGAGTGAGGGGGGGGGGACGACGACACAAGTAGCAGCACTGGGAGACGTCTGACCTAGTGACACCATTGCACATACACGCACGCACACACACAGATAAACACACACATACATAAACAAACACAAACACACGCACAAACACACACATACGCACACAAACACACACACACACGCATGCTCTCTCTCACTCTTTCTGTCTCTCTCTCTCTCACACACACACACACGCATGCTCTCTCTCTGTCTCACACTCACACTCACACACACACACACAAACACACTCCTTCACTCTCCCTTAATCAACTGTAAGACGTGTATATATGTGGTCTGGCCCAGGTATGTTCCGCGACAGACGACAGCTGCTTCACTCTCCAACCACACGGTAACATGTAGGTAGAACAAGGGCCATAACTGCTGCAGCCAACACCAGAACAGAATCTGTCAAAAAGAAAAAAAAATGAAATATTCGAAAATTATTGCTGTATTTCACAAAGTCCGAATGACGGGCAACAGTTAAATTTATTCAATTGTTTGTAATTAGCGGTGTATTATAATATTTTGAAAATAAAACATCCTATAAATGCACTTGCAGAAGTTATTTACAATGTCAAAAATTTCTCTACTTTTACCAATCAGAAGGACACATCAATATATATATATATATATATATATATATATATATATATATATATATATATATATATATATATATATATATATATATATATATATATATATATATATATATGTGTGTGTGTGTGTGTGTATGTGTATGTGTGCTGACAAAGTGTACAGATTCAAACTTAATCAATACCAATTCAGAATCCAAACAATCATTTTAAAATAAAAATCAAGTTACCTGAGCTTTTCACTGCAGCAAAATTCGAAGAACTTACTGATAGCGAGAAAAATGAAATGATAGATAAATCAATCAATAAATTAATAAATTGATATATTAAATTAAACTTTTAAAAAAAAACCTAAAAAAACCCCACAGACATACATGTATACAAAAAGGAAACACATTGAACATTAATTCATTATGCATAAGTAGTTGAAATGTTTCTCTAAAATCATACTTACGCCATCGTTCTTTAGGAATCACAATGATATACCCGAGGGCTATGGGAATATTTATTGAAACATATTACCAAACTATTTTGAAAGAAATCACTGTCAGGTAAATAATTTAAAAAACCCAGTGTGACCATGACATTTTAGTAGTACAAGATGTTAAATCTAAAAGTGTAAAATATCGATTTTAAACATGAGGCATTCATGTTAGAAACATTATATAAACGTAAAATCTTAATTGGAGGAGAGAAAAAAAGGGAAACATTAAACAACAGCCTTACACGGGCTGCTAAATTAAAAGCACTGGAAGAATACACCGAAACAAACAAAAGTGTCAAGAAATGCATAAGGAAAGACAAACAGGGTTATTTAGAACTGCTGGCAAGTGAAGCAGAAGAAGCACTTTACCATGGGAATATTAGGGACGTGTACAATACAATTAAGAAGATATCTGGGAAGTTCAGTAAGCCAGAGAGGCCAGTGAAGACCAAAGATAATACCTGATGCAGAAAGACAGATGAAGAGATGGGCAGAACATTTTGAAGAACTACTGAATAGACCAACACCAGAGTGCACGCAAGCTATACCACCATCTGAACCCACCTTAAAAAGTAGAGATACAGGGTGGACTCAGGGATATACTACGGACTTGGACATGGATTCGTACTCGAGACTTTAGGGTTAGCAGCCTAGCGCTCTACCGCTTAGGCCACGCCGTCCAACGAAAGCAGTGTTAGCCTATACATTTATGGCACCCTCAGTCCATTTGCAGTTGTATTTTTATATAACTTAAACAGTAATTAAAATGCGATAACACTTTGTTTTATTTTAGTAGTTTCAATGTAATGCTGCATAATGTTATTTGTGAGCCAACAGTTAAAAAATATTTTTTTCCTCTAAGGCCAACACGACTCCCAAAGCTAGACTTTGAGAATTTCAATCTAAGGTGTAAAGTTGAATAAGATTATATTTAGTTGTTATGGACACGGTCTAACGGCGAACGACGGATTCTATTGACCAATAATGCAGAAAAATCTTCATACCTATCAAATCCTGTATTTTGATCGTTTTCCTCATATCCCACGAGTGGTCTGTGGGGTACCAGGCGCCGTATCGTAGCCTTACTGAATAGTTCAGCGCAAAAGGCTTTAGATAAAGCTCTTCTGGAAGGTATCCTTGGAAGCGAGGGGGGTGAGCCATCTCGCAGGAGCAGGACCGTTTGGGATAAAAGTCCGACTTGCATCCATTTTCTATGTCTTGATAGGAGATCCAGCACATCTGAGTTGAGCGAAATAACTTCATTGCATATTACACTCGGCTTCAAAAAGTACAGTTGAAAATGTATATATTTATCTACTATATGTACTCTAACAGCCGTTGCGTGCTCGAGAGATCGAATGTACAAAGTTTATATGGAACTATTTTTGTAGATAAAATAAATCGGGAGTGATCTCCCCTAAACTTTCTCGAATATTCTTATATAAAAAAACAGGGGATGGGAACTCGAGATATAGACATAAATTTTAATCCATTTTAAAAACTTAAACTTTTTGAAATAGAAAAAAATCTCGTAGAAAAAAGAATTGCACACCAGTAAACGCCAAATAAAATGTGCATAATAGTGCGGAATATTATTAGTACTTTATAAATTTAAAAAGTACCACTTCCGGTTATTGGAAATCGCTCAAAAGTTGATACGGATCTACGATTTTGATAAAATACGTATATATGAAATTTCATCAACCTAGCTGCCACTACGCATTAGTAATGTCTCCGTCATAACTTAATATAAGATTGGGTGTTGCTTTCAGTAGCGTAGCGAGGGGGGGGGGGCGGCGAGGGGGGGGGGACATATGTCCCCGGGCGCCGACTTTAGGGGTCGCCAAAATAGGTTGGAAAAATAAAAATGAAAGCTTGAGGGTGGTGCAAATCGAAAGTTTGAGGGGGGGGGGGGTGCAAATCGAAATCTTGAGTGGGGAGGGGGTGCAAAATCGAAAGTTTGAGGGGGGGGGTCCAAGTCGAAATCTTGAGTGAGGTGGGGGGGTTTGCAAATCGACAGTTTTTCCTCGGACGCCGGGAAGGGTCGCTACTCCTCTGGTTGCTTTGGCTTATTTTAAAAATTGTCTACCAAGAGTCGTTTTAGTGTGTGTATATTTATTACGTGTCTTGGTAATTTCCAAAGTATAAACCAAAATTAGTTCGTTTTATGTAGTGATTACAGCCATAGATGACCCGTGTTTGTAGTAGACTTTCCAGTTTGTGAGTGTAGATGTTACTTAAAACTATATATCTTAAAATAAGAACTTTGTTGAGATGACGGTAAAAACAAGAACGCAATGTCCCTTTGGCTCACCCAGTATTTAACATGGGAAGGCATATAATATAAATGAGTCTTAGGAGATTCGGTTAAAATTATGAAACAAAACAGGAACAATAGCATTACAAATAAATAGTTTAGCATGGTAGCCATGACGGTCTATGGGGCTAGTGAAGTAGAGTTCACCTGTTTCTGTGACCCCAGCATATGTAGGTATAGTGTAGTCAGCACTATGCCTAGCCGCCTTTACTTTCCTTAATTGAGTTATGTACCCATCAGAGCTGGGTGGACTGAGGGACAGTCTACTGACTTGAGTCCGGATTCGAACTCAAGACATACGGGTTAGAAGTCAAGCTCTCTACCGCTAGTCCACCAACCATACAATAACTCTTTAAAAAAAACATTCTAGGCTACTGATTCACTTTGGTAAAAGAACAAGTCATCAGATCAAAAGGGAATCAAACGTGGCGTTTGATAATTTGATTAATTTAAAAACAATAATGCCGTTTAAAAATTCTGCGACACCCTACATTGAGCTATCAAACTAAACTTACCGTCTCCCATGCAAAGCGATTGGAAGCACATTCGTTGAGCATGTCCGCGCGTTTAGGACAGTATTCAAAATAAAAAAAGAAATCCTTCTTCTTCATTTCGGATGGATCAGGGTGATAGATGGTGCCGAAATACCATAGGGTGCCATAGGGCCAGGGTATACAGTGATGGCAGGCGGGTTGGATGCCGTCTAGTTGTGATAGCACCTCCGGGGCGTCTTCACTGCTGAGGCCTGGAATTTAAAAGAATCTATTTTTAATATACTTCTTCTAGTCAATCGAAAGAGTTTTTATTTTTCTCTTGGCATTCAACAATACATTTTTATAGTTAAAAAAAGAGGAAGGTGTGTGTGTGTGGGGGGGGGGGGGGCATGTGATTTTTTTAACCTTCCAGGAATTTTTTGCATTATTGTTGACATTCCCTCCCCCCCCCCCCCCCCCCCCGCACCCCCCAAGCAAAAAAAAAACGGGTTTGGTGTCTGAACAACAAGGGTCCAACTAATGTTTTCACACATCATTTTTATTTTAGCTGGGTGAAAGGGAAATCTCACGACATAGCGTCGGAAATTATCTGGTAATGTTTGTTGAGTTTCGATAACATTCGTTACTGTAAACCATAGTTTATTTGACCGTTGAAATAAAAATAGAGTCAAGTGCATTGAATTAATGTTTTAACTTAATTTAAAGTTTAATTGACAGAAAATTAGCAATAAATTAGTAAATCTAAGTATTATTAATAAAGTCGAGTTTAGTAATCAATGTTTTTTTAAGAAACACAGAAAAAAACGTGCAGAAGATTTGCGACAAGTAGCTCTAGTTCTGTTAGTAAAATAAGACGATTAGATTTACTAAAGTTAAAAGTAGTAAGAAATAATTAGAATAATATTTAGTAGCAGCAATAATTAGCACATACACTTTTAAAAGAATTAGAAATACAAAATAATTAGCAAAACAGTATTTAAAATGCAACTCAAATCAATCCTTGCACATTTTTAAACATTATGTATTGAGAATAATATGGCGGCAAATAAATTATGTTTTACAGTATTTCGGTGGTTCCCGGAAAGGCTTGACATACTACGCCATAGTTTTACTGTTTTTTACTGCTGTACAGTTCCGGAATAATAACCGAAGCTATATCGTAGTTTTACCGGTGAAAGTCTTGGAGTGACGAGTAAAACAGGAATGGGATAGATAACATTTATTGTAAATAATAGCATTTAATTACATGTTTCTTGTCCTCTTTAGATTTACATCTAGGATAAACTAAAAGTTTACTTTAAAAAATTAAACAAGGAAAAAAAGGAAAGTTGTAAACACCTGTAAGAATGATAACAATAAAGAGTTTCATGGCGTGTAACATGATTCTTTCTGAAAATTGAGGTCTAAATTAATAGCAAATAAGGCAAGCTGAAAGAGCAAAAAATCATAGCAGCATAATTTGGAATATCTCTTCTGCAATAGCAATCCCAGTCACAATTTCGCCCTTTCAAGATGGTATAGTAAGAGCGGATATGGAATCACTGGCGCACCATCACATAAATTCAAAAGGTTGCACGGGTTATGATGCACACCAAAGCGACGCAAATAAGTGTTATCATTCGCTGATCTTTAGTCAATGAAAATAGGCGTATCATTTATGGCTTATACGATCCGAAAATAAGCGACTTACGTGGACGAATGACGAATGTGGACAGGATAGGGGGGAAGGGGGAGGGAGATCGGGTCCATTTGGACGTATACATGTCTAATTCAACAGCGAAATACTTACATTAAACAATGTTATGATTGTTAACATTATAAGAGTGCAGAAAAAAAGTACTACTAAATGCAAAAAGTACTTAGCTTGGTTTTTGTTTTGTAAGGCAAACACCATTAAATTAAAGCAATTGCTTATCATATAAATCTATGGCCTAATTTATAATTACTCGTTTAAAATACACTTATTTTTCCAAAATATGTTCTACTTCTAATATTTAGGGCTGTTAAGAGACATATTTAAAGGAAAAAAAAACTTCATAGAAGTATTCTCAACTACTTCCCAAAGTTTCATTGTAGTAATGCATAAAGAAAAACCCACACACAAACACACATACAGTAATATATATATATATATATATATATATATATATATATATATATATATATATATATATATATATATATATATATATATATATATATATATATATATATATATATATATATATATATATATATATATATATATATATATATATATATATATTTATATATATATATATATATATATATATATATATATATATATATATATATATATATATATATATATAGGACCCGCGTCGCGAGGTGTCGCGATCTAGTCCTACACACCAGCGTGACAAAGAATTTAAAGGTTTTTAACAACGCGTTACCACTCCTGTTATAAGTTTCCATATAATAACATAAGGACTTGTGAGTAATTTACATTCTTTATACATGCATTTAGACATTGCAAGCCTTCGTTGTTTTGAAGGAGATGTGAGCAACCACGAAGCAACTTCAGGCTGGGGTAAGCTTGATTATAATTACTTTTAGAACCACCTTTTTTTTTCTTCTTCTTTTCTTCTTCGTTCTGAATTTTTAGTGTTCGAAGGGATCGAGTCTTATCTGCCAGAGGGTTTGAACTCGAGACTTTTTTCGAATTAAACAACCAAAAGCTTTGCCGACTCGACCACGCCTCCAACACAATTAAGCGTTACGTGTCAACTGGTTATGCACCATTGAGGCCATTGACTCCGATTTCAGCCTGCTTTTCTTTTTTGGATTTGCTTCCATAGCCTTTGTCCAACCAAGAACAAACTACAAGGCAGAAGTTGTTTGATTTTGGAGTTGTCTCTCCTAGAAGAGCGGCTGTCCCCAGCTAACGAGCCTCATCTGCAAGAGGAACCACGTTTTCAATTATTAGAGTTAACACTTGACCCACTGTATCCGTCACGGTCCTTTTATTGGTGAAGAAGCATTGAGTCAACACTGCTACGTTTTCTGTATTTATAGATACACTCCGATGCACAGTGAAAGGCCAGCCTGGATTGACTTTAAACACACATTGTTTGTACCCAGTGGTAAGTACTTTTTGTACTTTTTTTTTAAAAACATGGAATCATAGCACGCTTTTTCACACAATTTAACAAGGGTAACCATATGTAAACATTAATTCTGTTTGGATTGATTATCACTTGTAGCAAATAATGTAACTTCATCAGCTACATTATTTAGAAACCTTTCCTAAATGGGATGTTTTTTTTATATGCATTCATTCATATACGAGCTGACCCGCAACGTAGTATACGCCGCAATCTAGATGTTTTATTTTCTGCTTATCAGCAATTCATAGTTTGTGAATTCAACACTACCCCCTCCCGCCCTCCCGCCCAGTGAAAGCAGCCGTTTACAGACATAGAAAAGATCAATCAGAAATTGTTACCTCCCCTTCGTATAAAATCGTTTAATACTACATTATCTGCCCCTAATAGCCGTCACTAACCCGGCTCTACGATTGTAAACATTCGGGATGAACCACAGCTCACCTGACAGGTGGGAATAGGTGGTGGCTAAACTGCGTGGTGTTTTCTATGGTCTCCATGTAGATAATTATATATAAATATAAATATAAATATAAATATAAATATATATATATATATATATATATATATATATATATATATATATATATATATATATATATATATTTAATTATATTTTTGGATTTTGGGAAATCTTGTAACTCAATATTGACCTACTTCTGAGGCACTATTTTGTTTTTAAGCTTTCCAGATACATTTCGTCTTGAATGGTAGTGCCAGAATATATATTTTTAAATCTAATTCGAAATCTAAAATTAAAAAAAAATAATTCTAAACAGACTAATACACTCACACACATGACATGTTGTAATTAAAAATAAACCGGGGGTGATCTCCCCTAAACTTTCTCGAATATTCTAATATATAAATAGAATAGAATCTCATAGCAAAAAGATTTGCGCACCAAGCGAACGCCAAAACAAAATGTGCATAATAGTTCGGAATATTATTAGTACTTTATAAATTTACATGCGTTTTTTGAGAAATCGGAAATAGCGTAAATTAGTACTTCCGTTCAACGGAAATTACTCAAAATTAGACAGAAGGTAGAGAATTAGATCTTTTACTTACATGTGAAATTTGATTTATCTATCTGATATAGTACTCAAGTTATAGGCTTTTGAAAAATGCAAAGTAGAAAAAATACCACTTCCGGTTATCGGAAATCGCTCAAAAGTTGATCAAGATCTACGATTTTGATAAAATACTTATATATGAAATTTCATCAACCTAGCTGTAACGGTACTCAAGTTATCAGGTTTACACACAGACAGAGAGACAGCGTATTTTGTACATTGGCCGGCCAATGCGCGGACTGGCCTGGATTCCTGGCCAATGGTCTATCTAGACTGTTGTGATCGTGTTTTCATTATTCTGGGTGCGGGTTCATTGTGAGTAACGTATTGTTTGGCTCTTGATTGTATAGCATTCTATGTGCAATGCGACATGGACCAAAAGGACCGTCAGATAAAGAGACAGACATACCAGATGGCTCTCAAAATAAATAATCCTGAACTTAATAGCCTGAACTTAAACTAGATCACAGAAAACCAAGGCATAGCCAAAGCCAATGTTCAGTAGAACGTGCCAACTAAGATGTTCAAAACATGATGATGACATGGATGCAGAGGCTGAGAGTCTTATGAAAAACCGTAATTTTCATCAAGGTATCCAACAATTGCCATACGAAGCCTTGTTTGGATGCGAAGAAAAAGTGGAACTTAGCACTTGAAAAAATTTACCAAGAGAGGCTCTCGATAAGTTAGCTACCGATGAAGATCTTGAGAACATTGAACAAGAAATGGAGGTTGCAATAAATGCAACGACATCCTCAGCTAACACATCTCCTGCCGTGGCGCAACGTCCAGACCAGCTGCGTGACAATAATAAGGCCAACAGATTATGTGTAGTTTGTGAAAAATATTGAAGTTCGACCCATTCTTGTGGATCCTGTGGCAACGATGTCCATGCGATATGCGGAATAGCCAATAAAGCAGACGAAGGGTATGGAGGGAACAGTACTCGCAGAATATATCACAATAAACAAGAGACCATGGACAGGTAAGCAGCTCATACTACCTTGCAAACTCAAGGTGCTAAGATGCTAACAACATTTAAACAAGCTAAAGTGAAAGATACTGGTAGCATCCGTATTAGTATTCCGGATGTTGACAGAGGTCGCGGTGATCCCCGAGGCGTCATTGCAGTTGGCAAGAGCGTCGAGGGCGCTTTCTACAAGCTAGGAACGGAACATGATGTATTTAAAAAACTATAAGTTAGAAGTGAGTTTTTAATTCTTCACGAAAAACTGATCTCATTGTCACCAGTTGGCACTGAGGAAAATCACTACGAACCATCGCATCTTCACAACCACTGACCAGCGGCCAAGACTTCATTTACTGCAATTGCACAACCTAGTGCACAACAAATCGCTGCAAGTGTAATTCCAAATAATAATCAACAAAGACTTAATTTTTATGATTCTTACGGTATAAAATAAACCGGGAGTGATCTCCCCTAAACTTACTCGAATATTTTTATATGAAACAACAGGGAATGGCAAATCGGGATATAGACATGACTTTTAATCCATTTTAAATAATTAAAATTTTAAAAATAGAATTAAATCTCGTAGAAAAAAGCAGTGGCGTAGCGAGGTCGGGTGTTACCCGGTGCGGCTTTTAATGGTGTCACCCCCCCCCAGAGGCGTAGCGACCCTTCCCGGGGACAAACTTTCAAATTTTTGATTTGCACCCCCCTCTAGTTTTCAAATTGCACCCCCCCTCAAGTTTTTGATTTGCACCCCTCCCCCTCAAGTTTTCGATTTGCACCCACCCACCCCCCCCCCCCCAAAGTTTCGATTTGCACCCCCTCTAAAGTTTTCGATTTGCACCCCCCCTCAAGTTTTTCTCTATATATTTTCCTATTTTTCGCCTTGGTGTCACCCCCCTAAATGGTGTCACCCGGTGAGGTCCGCACCCCCCGCCCACCACCCCTCGCTACGCCCCTGGAAAAAAGAATTGCACACCAAGTGAAAGTCATATAAAATGTGGAAAATTTCATATATAAGTATTTTACCAAAATCGTAGATCCGTATCAACTTTTGAGCGATTTCCGATAACCGGAAGTGGTACTTTTTTCACTTTGAATTTTTCAAAAACCTATAACTTGAGTACTATTTCAGATAGATAAATGAAATTTCACACGTAAGTAAAAGATCTAATTCTCTACCTTCTGTCAAATTTTGAGTAATTTCCGTTGACCGGAAGTAGTAATTTAAGCTATTTCCGAATTCTCAAAAAAAAGCTTGTAAATTTATAAAGTACTAATAATATTCCGCACTATTATGCACATTTTGTTTTGGCGTTCGCTTGGTGCCAATTATTTTTTCTATGAGA